CTCTCTCTCTCTCTCTCTCTCTCTCTCTCTCTCTCTCTCTCTCTCTCTCTCTCTCTCTCCCTCCCTCTCTTTCGTCGAGTTAATTGTAAATATGCGTATATATGTATCTATATATATATACATATATATATATCCGCTTTATGTGTAAGTGTGTGTTATACATATATATAGATATATGCGATCACAGAACACGTATAATTCGCGTGTAATAGTTTGTGCCACGTTCTTCGTGTGTGTAACCTTAACGATCTATATAAGGATTTGATTTGTTTAAACAGCCTCTCCGTCCTCGTCGCGCGCACTTTGACATCGCAAACGGTGTCCCTACTATTGACGACCGTCAATTACCGAGGAAGAGACGGGGCTCCGTCAGTCGTGCGTTGCGTCCCTTGCGATCTACTTAAGCTCTCTTTCTCTCTCTCTCTCTCTCTCTCTCCCTCTCTCTCTCTCTCTCTCTCTCTGCCTCCCTCTCTCTCCCCCCTCTCTCTCTCTCTCCCTCTCCCTCTCTTTTTCTCTATCTTTCCTTCCTCTAGTGTTTTAACGCTATGGTATGGAAATACCAAAGGTATGGAAATTCGTTGATAACCGTCCACGCGCGGAAAGTCGCGCGTCGAGAGATTGGTGTTCCCCAACTGATCGACAAGTCGCGATTCTCGCGACGATGTTTGCTTGCGCGCACGACTCGAGCAATCTGTACCTATTAACTCTCCAAATCATCAACCTCCCCTTCTTCTTGTCACATAGAACGAACAGAACGATTTTCTTCCTCTGGTGTTTTTATTCCGCTAGGACAACAACCGAATTCGCGTCGCGTATAGCTCGACGCGCACGCGACACTTTCTGTCGACTGTCGTTCACTCGCACGCACGCACGCACATACGCGGTCGCGGGGATCGTCCTACAATCTAGGTTCGTCGACGCACGTGTATGATGAAAGATAGGTACGATTTTATATTAGCTTTCACGTTACGAGACTGAGTCGTCGGAAATAAACGATAAAATGCGTATATGTGTACATCGCAAACACGACACGAAAAACAATTTCTCGATTTTCTCTTTCTCTCTCTCTCTCTCTCTTTTTCCATTTGTCGATACGTGCCACTTCATAATCAAATATCGACGTAATCCGACGATTTTATGTCGGCGTGCGCGCAACGAAAACGGAAACCCGGAACTCGAAACTCGGGCGTGAGACACCGGGACGAGTCCAAGTGAAAACCGCAACGATGATCTCGCATATAATTACGGATTCAGCGTTAACCGATTTCTTATATAATTTACCCTTAACGATTAATTTTCCATCCTTCGACAAGATATCCGACAGAAAGGAGAAACGAAATATATTGCATGGAGCTACGCACTTTTGTCCCGCTCGGCGCGTGTGTACGCGCGTGCACGTCCACCTGCGACAAGCAACGGTGCGGACGCACCTACAAAACGCACGGAAGATCGAAACGTAAACGCGAAGTGTGTGTGTAACGTTACAAGCGCGACGCGAAAGCTTCTAACAGGCGAGAGCAAACTTTAACAGATCTGAAACATAAACGATACGCACAAATAACAGTCTGCTACGATGTCGAACGTAGAAAAATACAAGTGTCTATGTACAAAACGAATTATAAATCTCTCCTCCTTGTCATCCCCGTCTCCCTATCTGTTCAATATACCTCTATCTCTCTTCCTCTCTTTCTTTTCATTCTGCTCTCTTCCTTCTCTCATTCTCTTTCCCTCTTTCATCTTCTTCAATTACATTAAATTCTTTTCTCTGATCCGCTCTCGACACAAATAGAAAAACACTCTTGCCCATTACGGATCATGTTTTCGCGAATTGACGGAACTGGAGCTGCGCAATCGACGCGTTCGTTGAGTCGCTCGGAGGCTAAAGATGCGTTGAATTCGCCGTTAGATGGACTCGGACGAGCGGCTGGACGAAGAATCGCGTCAAAAGCGCAACAGAAACAAATGATCAAACAACGCCGCGATCCACCTACCGCCTTGCTTCCTCAATCTACGCCGGACGCTGTTCTTTCTTTTCTTCTTCTTTGCTTCTTCGTTATCGCCTTTTCAGCGCTTACTGAAGAGCCACGATTGCCGTCTATTGCCGACGGCACACCAATCGAACCATGTAGCGATGACCTTACGACGATGGCGTCGAACACGCCCAAAGCAACGGATCTCATTCGTCTCTCTCCTCAAGTCGCGTGCGTGTGTGTTTCGTATGAGACTCGATGATATCGTGCTCGCTCGTTCCTTGCCGTGCCGTGTGCAGAACCCCGCGAAAACATCGCGCGAATTTGCGCGGGAAAACAAATCGACAAACTGACTGACAGACAGCAGACAGGCGAAGGGGCGACGCGGAACTCCGCTTTACGTCATATACCGCATCACGACTCGAAGAGCATATAGCAATTCCGCTTGCATGCGAGCCTCTAAGATCATCAGGCACACGTGGACCTAAAGAACAGAAAAAAATACGATATTTAGCAGCTTGTTTGACTCGTCTATTCTTCCATCTGTTTGCTCCGATCAACTTTTCGTATTTACTGTTTCAGCGGTTGTTATTTTGAAGTTACGCTTGCTGTGGCGACAAAGTCTGTCTGTGTTCTTATCGAGAACAGAATTAAACGCCTAATTCCAAATACACAATGTGACTCGCTTGGGGCAATTTTAATTTTCAATCGCGAGAGGTAAAGATAGGTGTTGCTATTTTCAGCTAGACTGTGAAAAACATTTCGTATATTTAGCATGTAACTTTTAACTTTTCAACTTGTTTACGGTATCGGTGTTCACGTTAATTTCAATAGAATGTGATATTCAAGAAAGCCGTGCACAAACTTATCGTTCGTTTTTCAAATAGATACTACAATATCCAGAGACAGAATCAATCGGCGAGAACTCGAGCGTTTTAACCGAGTAAGCTAATTATCTTCTCTCCACGTACCTTTTCACTGTGTTTAAATTCCCTCATGACACGATCGTAATCCCTCTTGGTGACGCGCTCCGGATAACAAACGGCGCTCTTGATGAAGGTCTTCAGACTTCGTTCGAGCAATTGATTGACCTCATTGTAATCGTAATCGTCGTGCCTTATGCCGAACATGCACTGTATGTAGTTCCAGATTGCCCGTCTGAAGCGGGACGTGTCGACCTTGTTGTGCGTACCCATCGTGTAGTACGTCAGATTGTACGCGGTCTTGAACTTGTCATCGAGCAGATTGCCAACGTCGTTGTAAAGACGATTTACCAGGGAGTATCCGTGATCGTCCCAGGAGCAGTCCTGGACGCGGAAGGTCGGTATGTCGTTCAGCTGACCGCGCTAAAGTACGAGAGAGAAAAAGATTGCGTTGAGAAAAAGCGACTTTGAAGAACGAAGGGAATTATCTCGAGGAAAGATCGCGACGAAAAAATTATGTTGCTAAAGAAAAAGAAGATAACAGCATGCAACACCACTCGCGTTATCTGGCTCGGCGAGTAGTTTTATTATCTCGCGCATTAACGACTAGCGCGTAATCGCCGTGCACCTCGCGCCTTCGCAGCTACTTCAAGTCACAACAACATACTGTCGCTTGTTGTAAATATTCATAGTTAGACGAGCGACGGTGTCGTCGCCGTTGTCGTCGTCGCCGTTGTCGTCGTCGTCGTCGTCGTTGCGAGCGAAGTGAGCCGGCTTAAATATTCATAGATGATGCTATACGGGCTACCTTGGAATATCCTTTCGGCTCTAATCCATTATACGCCACGCGCACAAAAATAACATAAACTATCGCTGTCTTGACGCGTTGTCTCGCTAACGAATCACGGGTTATGTTATCAACGTTAAATGAACTAATTAAGATACGTAACCATAGCAATGTCTACTGTCCGTTTTATCGTAGCGAGCGCGTCGCTTAGAACGACGAGGAGAGGTGGTGTTTGATCGCACGTGCACACAAACACACACGCGCGAAAGAACTTACCTTGGCGAAATCCTGGTAGATGAAAGTGGGGTCCTCGATGAAAAGACCGATATCCGAGTCGAGAACCGAGCTACTCCTCTGCGGTGCTGCCGCCAGCTCGGCTGATTGCGTCTCGACAGTCTCGAATCTCTTCGACAGCTCCTCCTGCGTGATCTGATAAGACTCGGACTTTTCCGAGAGGCGCTTCATACGTTCCATCAGAGTCTCCACTCCGACCTCCTGCTCGCCGACTATGCTCGGCGATGATGGCGGCGACGGTACATTTTCTGCGTGGATCAAGATAACAACGCAATATTACACGGACTTGTGTGAAATTCTTTCGGTGTCACACGACGTAAACGATCGTGAACATGCAACGCCGCGCCTATCCGCGTACATGTATGCGTGCGAGGAATTTAATGATCATTACGATGGACATTATGATGTTATTTATAACAGTTACGCAGTTACAATAAATGTGCGTTTACTTACCAGTCTTGCCGTCATTGTTGGGAATCTTCTTAGGACTGCTGGAGAGTTTATCTTTGGCTGGTGGTACTTTACTACTATTTTCCTGGCTGTTGTCCTTGTAGTGATGACCGGTCACATTATCTAATTCCTCATTAATCCCGCAGGAAAATACGAAAGAAGATAATGAGTGGAAGTGGGCTAATAGGACTATCGCGTGAACGACCTCGGCTATGGTCCAATTATCGTCGCCCTTAGTCAGTTTCTAGGGACACACACAGACGCCATTGAGACTCGTCAGCATTATTCGCGAAACAAAGCGCGACTCACGATCAATCGAGGTGAGTACCCGTCGCTTACCTCTATGTGCGCCTTGGTCAGGAGCCACGGTCTGTGAGCTAGGATCTTATTGATCTCATAGAGATCTTGTAGCTTCCCTGGAATCGATCTCAGGCCTTGGAGCCACGAGAGGTCACCGCCCTGCAGCAGGAACTCTCCCTTCTGCAGGTTTATAAGGTAGCTACACTGGTGCCTGCCCGCGGCCTGAAAGCACACGAAGATAAATCTTCAAACCCGTTCTCTCCGAATCGTTCCTTCTTATCCGCCCTTATCCTCCTTATCCTGCCCTTTTCCCGAGGACGTTTTCAACATTTTCAATGTAACCACGCGCCACTTCTCGCGCGTTACAAAGTTATTATCGTCGGGAAGATATGCGATTGTCAAAGAGAGACTTTCGAACAAATGAATCCCCCTGACAGATCAGCGAGGAAGAGTTGCAATTCCGGACTCGTTCCGACTATTAGTTGAGTAATGAGGCATAATTTGAGCGCAAATCAAAGGGACGAGAGCGCGAGTATCTTAAGAGATAATCGTGCAGATAGAGATGTTCCATATGTAAAGCGCGTTTTAGGTACTTTTGATACCGCGTCGTGCGAGTAATGCAAGATATTATATTATGGTCTAATCACGGCGCACACATACACACCGCGCCCCCCGACAAATCAACTAATTTATAGTGGTCGTTATGCTTCGACGGCCAAGCGTCGTAATCTTGATTATCGCGCTAACCTCAGGCTGTACATCATGGGGTAGATATACAGGCTCGCAGAATTAGCTTGCAGATAATACCCGCCGATAAGATACTATCCATAGGGAAATAAGTGCGAATAAAACGACCGAGCGCGAATCGACCGAAAGCAATTTTGCCCCGCGAGGAATTTCTATTTGAGTGCTGCCGCCGTCGCATGCATTATTGCCGCCGATGTGTGCGCGTGTACGTGCATATGTGTGTGTGTGTGTGTGTGTGTGTGCGCGTGTGTGTGTGTGTGTGTGTGTGTGCGCGTGTGTGTGTGTGTGTGTGTGCGCGTGTGTGTGCGTGTGTGTGCGCGCGCGGCGATATCACGCACAATCGCGCGCCGATAAACGGTAGATCTCCCGTTCTACAAATTTTCGAGGACGAGCGTCGGGTTATTGGCTCGATTTTGAGGGGCTTGGGACCCGCGTGCCGCGCGTTTTTCAATAACAAATTTCGCCCGACGAGAGAGGCGAATTGACGGTAACGTGATGACGCATCGGAGCGCAAAATTGTGCGAGGTCGCGGCCGGCAATATCGCACCGTTATCACGCGCAGCATGATTTTCGAGCACGCGTCAAATAACACGGTATAATGGAGGGGGAGGGGAGGAGCACGCTATACTTCGCTAAACGTCGCGTTCCATCGACGACGTAGTTAATTCGCCTCTCGCATTATCCCGATCTTTTTTCGTCACACCTATATATGCGATAACAAGTGCGAAAAGTCGTGCGGAAAGTTAGTCTTGTGCCGATAAGGGTAATAAATTCGCGATATTTATAATAGTAGAATAACGCAAAAAAACGCGGCAAACGTTAGAAGCTCTCGTAAAAAATTCACATCTTAAAGCTGTACGGAACACTGGACATTTAATTCGTTAATTTTGATTTGAATCTGCTCATGATTTTCGTATTGCGATGCCACGTTACGTATCAAAAGCACTTAACCAACTTAATCTGAACGCAGGAATTCGTATTGCGTATTTCTGACAGAAACAAAAAGGTCGACAGGAAGACATTCCTGCGTTATATAATGCAAAATTTAACCGCGACAACAATTACTTTTTCTGTGTAAAAGAAACGACTCGCTCTTGAAAGTATGATATTTTAACGGCGATATGCGCGATATCGCGCGTATTTTTCCATCCGCTGTTCGCAGCGACAAAATCAAACGACGTTTTCTCTTCATACTTTTTTTTCCCGTAGAGCGAAGGTTAAATTGCCTGACGCGCGAGCTCAACGGTGATCTATTCATTTCCGCGTGAGCAACTTTGCAAAGTCCGCGAGCATGAAATGCGTCAGTTTAGCACCCCTGACTCGTCATTTCGCCAACCGGGAATTTCGCGTGGGCGTGGATGCAGCGAGATTCTGACAAGACTCGATCGATCATCGTAACACAGGATGGTAATATCACGGTGAAGAGACGCGACGAACGAGAGCGGAAAAATGCGAGATGAAGCGGAAAAGGAAAAGAAGAAGTAAAGAAGAGAAAGAGAGGACAATAGAAATATCAAGAAAAAAAAAGAGAGAGAGGAAAGAGACGGTGAGAGGGCAGAAGGGGAAGAGAGGAAGAGACAAAGTGCGCAAACAGAGTGCTGTGTTTACCATGAGAACTGTCAATCGATCGATTCAAGAGTCACGATAAGCGCGATAAGAGCAGTCCGCAAATACATCTTCGCTGCTTGAGAAACGTAGCGTCTTTTCCTGAGAATCGCGAGCTGAAACTGATACGCTCTAACGACATACTCCGTCAACAGTCACACGCATTTATTACAGACCCGACACTGATTGCATAAGGCAGCTCGCGAAATCTCACGATTTTGAGGGCGGCAACGTATTCGTCGGAATACTAGTATGTTTTCGAGACTGAATAAAAAAAATTGTTGGGTCGGTAAGATACAGTGCAATGTTCCGGAAAATATTGACAGGAGGAAGTAACTTACTGCACGCGCATCGCGCTGTTTTCGATTTATAACGGTAAGTTTTTTTTTTTTTTTTTATTTGGATGGTATCTCTCTTTACAAAGTTATACACTGGAATCTATATTGCTTCCATAAGCAATTGTTTGTATGTGCAAAAATTCAATAATCAGTATACAATTTTTCATGAATGATGCAAACAAATCGCATAAAACTTCAACAAACTACGAATGCGTTTATCTATGATAAATGTTATGTTAAATTCTTATATAATTTTTTAAGTATTTCGGCTTAAGTGAAACACACGGAGCCGAGGGCGATACCGATTTTTGCTTCTTATCGCTCGGAATTGCTGCGTATAAATTGAGAAAACGATAAAACATTGAAAATAGTATATTATCGTAGTGACGAAAACAACACATTAAATGCTTGTTGAAGTTGAAACACGCGCGTCATCACGACGTTATCAGTGATCCCGTCTCAAATGTAATCAGCAACGAACCGGTGTCACAAATCGGTGACACATCAGCGTCGGAAAAATACGTTTCATTTTCGCGACTCTGAAGGAGCCGGCGTACCTTTGGTACTAGTTACGACGGTACCCCATCATTAACGCTTCGTGAAGTCGCGCCCACGCAACGATAATGTTGTCTAGATAACGCTAAATTCGTAGGGGCGTTGCGTTCTCAGCCTTCACCCGACTTGGCTGCTCGCGATGTCTATCGTCTTCTTTCCTTCATGGAAAGCTGACGTAGAATGAGTGGTAAACAGAGTTGCTCGACCCTATTATGGTTATTTCGATAACAGGCGTGCTCGTCCGGGAATCTAACCTAACACTTGTATCAGTTAGCAACCGTAAATTTGAGACGAGGAGAGATTCACGATAGCGAACGACACTTATTTTCGAGAGCAAGCCGGTGTATTTGCCTTCGTATGCTGCTTCGCACGCTTGATATGTGACATCTGGCTCGGGCACGATTAACGATGTGTAAACTCTGACAATAGAACAAAAATTTGATAAAAAGTTACAAAACATCGCCGCGCTCCTATTTTTATTCAAGTGATATTCATGATTATTCAAGTGATACTGCGAAACGTAAGTTTCTCGGATAACTATTTATCATAATTTCGTTACGATCGCGTGAAGAAAACAACCGAGGAAGCCGGCTCTTGCTTGCAGCGTCACTTCCAACGCGAGGATATAATCTCGATCATCCAGCCGAACTGATCGCGAGTCGTACGCCGAGGAAGCGGCGCATGCAACGAGCAGAAATATGTATCGATAGAAAAGCTGCTTTTTAAACACCTTATCATTTTATCTGTGTGTACCGGCTGAGAATTTACCTTGTTCTCACCTGCACCTCTCGCCACCTCTCGCACCTCTCGAGATAAAGTGTTTTTCGATCAATCGTGCGTCACATGTATTTCGTCTATCGCAGCCTACCAGCTTGTCTCCCGAGTTATCAGACGGAGATAACTCCTTCTCGAGCAAAATCTCGCCGCGAGATTGCGGAAGGAATGCGCGGAAGGTTCGCGAAAATTGGATTCGCGCTCTCGCGAGTGATGGAATCGAGGATTGATCCTTTCCTCTTACAATCAGTATGTCTGGACCGTTACTGACGGTCTCTTTCTATCGACAAGTACCAGTAGTCGGACTGGTAGAAAGAGTTAATTAAAATGACGAAGATCGCCCGAGAAATTATTAACATCGCGACTTGATTGATCAAAACAATGTTTCTCTAATACTCAAAAATAAATGTGCATTTAAATATCGAAATAATTTAAGAATAATTTGAACTTGGATGTTGTGAATGCGATTATATTCAAGCAATAAAGATCTTCAACGAGCTCTAACGAATTGTCCCGATTTTCTCAACTTAGCGCACAATCGAGCTCACGAGCGACGGCTCGCAACGACGGCCGGTCGCGAGTGCATATCTTTCAAATGCGGAAGCTGTAACCTCAATATTGCATCCCGTAAGTTTTACGATCATAGTCTGGCTTCGAGAGATTTTGCAATAAATAAAGTCAACTGCGGCCGCGAACGCCCGTCAAGCAGGCGTTAACTCAACAATTCAGAGTTAAACCAGTTTGTAGAATCTGCATACTCGCTCTCGCGCTTATATCGAGTGTTTAACAACACACCGCCAACTTCTCGCCGGCTCTACACTTTATATATATATCCACGGAAATATATTCAAACGCGAATTATACATCGACTAATTCGTATCCGCTTCTAAAGAAGAAGAAGTGAGATTTTAATGAAGAAACGAGTTCTTCGACAAGCAAGTCTTAACTCTCCAAGAAGAAAGAGAGAAAAGGAGAGAGAGCAAGTCGAAGAGGAGGATATTTAATAGAATTGATTCTCTCGAATTCTATTGAAAGCTTCGGCCGTAAGAAAAATGAGAGAGTTTACTAAAATTATTAAGTATTGCATAACACCAAAAGTACTGGAACATTCGTCTGAAATGCCTTGGAACTTTATGGAAAATCCCTGAAATTTACGTTGCTGAGAAAGTAACACACGATTTTACGAATGCGCTTGACAAAAATAAAAAAATACATTTTTTGTAGTTGAGATTGTTTCAAATCGGAAGATTGCACGATCAGTAAATTTGAGGGTGCTTTTATCTTCCTTCCTGTATTACGTTATCTAAACTGTCTGTTAGACGTGTTTAGTGAATATTAAACGCGAATATGAAACGTAACAGTGGATGAGTCATTTATTGAGAAACATTATTCTAGCGCGCATGCCTTCAATTGTTTGATCGTACATTCGCCTATGTATTATTTATGTTTCGCTAAATGCTTGCGTAACTGGATCAAGTTTTTTTTTCCATTATTTAAGAAGCGCATTGCTGACCGGAACTGAAAAGATTATACCCGGATGAAAGATAAAACCGCCTTCATTTCGCCGCCGGGTGCTTCTAAAATACACGTCTTAATTATAACAGCGTGGTGCTCTATGTAATTACGGAGAGCACGCTGCTTTCAAAACGATTCGCGGACGAGCGCGTTACGTGCGCGCGAGTGATAAAATTACATAATTTCACATAACAAACGGCGCGTGTTGATACTAAAATAGCTGGATGTTACGCGAATGGCCACATGCTCGTAAACGATCGCCGGATGGTGAAGATCGTAAAGGAACGGTCAATGTTTAATTTTTTTATACACCGACTGCTTTTGAACAAAACGCGCCGCGCTACGAAACACACACGTTACATTTACTCGGTTCGCGATAACCTTCGATCCGGTGACCCGTTGCCGTTCATCGAAGATGATCGGGGAACTTCATAGAAGAGACAAGGGCACCATAGTCACGGAAATGATAAACAACTCATTGCGAGTAATAATTTCCTACATTCATCGTGCATGTATCGATCAAACTGGGGATTCTGTCGAAAAAACACCTTCAAAGATGACTTTTAAAAGAGATTATATAATTGCGACGCGCATTTTTTTAGAACTTTGTTATGACATATGTATAGATAGCACATATTAAAAACTATTTTATTGATTTAGAAAGTCACTGCCAGACAATATATATATTATATATGTCATAATAAAGTTCTAAGAAAACGCGCGTCGCAATTGTAAATAGAATCAAATAGACATGAAAAGCTTATCTTTGCAAAATTGTATATATATATATATATATATATATATATATATATATATATATAAAATTACATCGACAATTTTGCAAAGATAAGCTTTTCATGTCTATTTGACTCTATTTACAATTGCGACGCGCGTTTTCTTAGAACTTTATTATGACATATATAATATATATATTGTCTGGCAGTGATTTTCTACATCAATAAAATAGTTTTTAATATGTGCTATCTATACATATGTCATAACAAATAACATATGTCTAAGAAAATGCGCGTCGCAATTGTAAATAGAATCAAATAGACATGAAAAGTTTATCATTGCAAAACTGTCGATGTAATTTGATGTAATTCAGAGGCAGTACGATTGAAAAGTCGCGAAAATCTATTTAAATATCTATTAATGAAACGCGGGAAATTTACTCGCGAAAATGTATACAAACATTTAATAATTAATGATAAATCAAAAGAGAAACGTGTTCTATGTATAGCTCACGCAGTCCTTTGTCAAGGATAAAAACGAAAACAGGTACTCACCATAATGGCAATGAGATGCCTGTAGTCATAAGGAAGTGGTCCGTCACCCCTGAGGATAAAATGTTGCGTCCGAAGGAAATGATCCAGATACGTTGGATGAGAAGACATTACCCTCGAGACATGATCCAGTCTGTTGTTCTGGAGGAAAGCATCCATCAACAGCATATGCGTCTGTAACAATCAAAGCAGGCCGCCATAAGTGAAAAGGAACGGCGCGTCATATTACATAGATTTATTACCGATATGCCATGTTATGTGAAATTTGCATAGAAACGTTTGAATATGTTAAGATCTAATCTACAGATCTGGATTCAAACGTCTCGCAAATTCTACTGTATAATAATTTTACAAATTGGCATCCGATCTATGACTCACAAAACTAGTTAGAGATAAAGAATTTAAAGACGTAACAAATGATCGAATTTTTGATAAAGAATCACTTCAATGAGACAGTAAATTTTATATTTTTGTAAAATTACTGCGTAAAAACTGTCCTTGACGTTAATTATTACACTTCTTCTTCTCAGAACGTGAAAAATGTTTCTGAACATCGCAAAATTCGTCTTGTCATAATCTTCGAGTTCGTCGGAAGATTGTTTCCGCATTAATATTTGGCAATCCGGTTAGCATAACGAGTTTTCGTTCTTACGCCTGCAATCTTTTATATTGATGAATTAGGAGGTTGGATACAGCGCAGTTGATACATATTAATCGCAATAAAAATTACATAATTTCGTCCGTATTAAAAAAGAGAAGGGTGGGCTTCCGGGTCATCCGAAAGTGATCCTCGCAATCAGGTGTTTGCGTTGCATCATTCAACGACAATGTCTTGCACGTTAATTAATACATCACCTCGATCCTTTTGTACACATCGAGTGGGAGAAAGAAAGGGAGATACATACGCAACGATAAGTATCGGAATAAATTATCTGTACCGTGGACACGCCGCATTATAGTAGCGCGTATAATGACCGCGTTGCATACCGCGACGTGTGATCGCTCCTTAATCGAGGACTAGAATAAACAGTGTATTGATAAGAGATTATTACGCGCGGCATGCTTGTACACGTATGTAATTACAATGTAGCGCGCGCATTAATCGCTCAAACATGAAGTAATTCACGAGTTAGAAAATAAACGAACGTGACTCGGAGCAGGCTCGGGAGCGAGGCTCCTTACGCTCGAGTCACGTTTCATCCTGAAACGCAATTCATCGGCTACGCGTGTTAACATCTAATAGTTTCCATGTGTACTAGCTGTGTCCTGCGTTTCTCCAGTCACCGATGAAATCCATCCAGTGCTCATCCGCCGTAGAGGGATCAAGCTAATCAACGATGTCCCGCTGACCGATACGTGGACATAATTCGAGATTTAGGGTCATTTGGAATGCGAACAGGTTACGTACAGAAGAGTCCATTAATGCCGTCTCATTCCATGTGCACAGTGACATTTGAAATGTTTGATCACAGGCGCATTATATTACAGATCGTTATCTGTATTATCGTGCATCATACACACATGACTGTGGATTACTTGAGGAATTATTGATTTCCTGAATAATCCACAGTCGTGATGTGCGAATATTTGTAACTTAATTTCATTTTTTATTTTGTCCGGATTATTTACAGGGATACGCCCCTTCGTTATACAAAATAATACATTAGTACGATAATAATTAATAGTGGTGATAAATACAATAGTACATAAAAAAGTAAAAAAATACATAAAAAAAATATACACGAGAAAAGAATATAGTTGACCCATCTGGTTATACTAACCAGACTCAATAGTGAAATACGAAAAATTAATAATGTAATTGCTGCAATCAGAGTATATCTATAGAGTAAACGTCATCCCAATTGGTTGCCATAACAACCAGAATACGCGAAATTACATTGATGTAGCTGATATACCAAAGAATAACTGAGTCATATCAAGCATACCACATTACTATCACACAAAGATAACGAAGGTGATGTAATTATGCTGCTCACAACGAAATAATTTCTATTTATGCGCAATATATTTTTTTCCATGTAATATAAAAATGCATATAAGATAAAAGTGAACTAAAAAATAACTACAAGCATAGAAAATTTGCTTAATAATAATAACAATATTTTAACTTTGATAAGATTTAAAAGAATATTATTAATTATGTGAAAGATTATTATTTTTCAGGTCAAGAAAGATGACTTACATGATTTATAATATAATGTGCCTGATCGAAAAATTTATAGGGCACTATGTTAGGGAATGAAACACCATTAATCGAGTCTTCTTTTGCATACGTGTACACACGGAACACGCAGTCGTTTGTCATTCGCACGACACACACGTGGGTTAGCGCACGTGTTCAAAATGGCGACGGCCTCCTCCGGTCGGCAAAATCCGGACTTGGAACTCTTTGTCTCGCACTACCCGGCCACTTTTCGCGACTGTACGGCGCATTCGCTTCTGCAGCACTACCTCTTCCGCATAACCGTCGCGCTTGTATGCGTGCCGGTGGGCAACCTTCCTCGACCGACACTCGTTTGCCTTTCTCACATACACGCCTGACTCTGGGAGAGAACAGAGGCGGTGAGCGGATACACACTTCGACAAATTCGCAAGTCGCAAACCTGTGCGAGAACTTTAGAGCAGCCTAACGCTCAACGGCTGCTTGACGCTGCAAACTAAACGGTCTCAACCGTGTACACAAATAAACAAGTGCTTCCGACCACGCGCGCAAATGACGGGATCTTGTCTTTCAGAGAGAGTAGCTATCGATTTTGCGACGATCGATCGTAAGTTTAGTTCGCGACGAGCTCTACCGTCCGTCTAGTTATTAAAATATCGCTAAGACGTCGACAACTCACTTGATGATACTCCAAATATTTCCAATCCGCAGGATGTCATGCGTCGATTCTTCTGCTATTCCACGTTATTCTTCGAATGTCTACGTTAATGAGTAATAAAGAACGATTAATAAATACTAACGTAGCTATCGAGAAATCTATAAAGCACAACCGGTGTTATTAACGCGAGCTGGCTGACAGTGTAATATATTGTGATACGAATATGTACAAACGCGAGTTGATTTGTCTGCTTGCGGTCGACCTTGTAATAGGTCAGCAACCCGTGCATATACACACCAACTAAGAGCGAAAAGCATTTTACTTTGGCGCCGGCTATCGCTTCGAGAGGCATATCAAGCGACATACCGTCGAACGCGAGGATAGCAAGAGAGATTTCGCTGCTCACGTCATACTGTCAACACCGGTCGTTGTAATTGTCGCGGGAATATCATCGCAGAGGGCATCGTATCGCGCACGAGTCGGACAGACGAACGAACGAACGAGGTTCACCTGCACGAATGACTCCACGATTCGTTATCGCTCCTAATCAGATTACAATTGAAAAACACCAGACGGTTATTAACATTTCTTCGAGCGATGTTCAGGTCGATTTCACTGCGATTCTCGGCGTAAACAAGCGAAACGAAAGGAACGGGGCGCTAAAATCATTGCCGCCAATGATTAATTGACGTCTTGTGCGCGTATTTGGCAAGTTGTTATTATTATTATTAGTGTGCTGCGTTCGTAAAGGAAAAGGCCGGATTCCAGTCGAAACCGGTGTGTGTGTAGGAAACGACTGTTTTGAAAGATTCCTACGTAATGTGTCTATATATCTATGCGTCATGTACCTATGTGTACAAGCCAGTCGATAAATTGCGTTTATTCCCTATGCGATCGTGAGAGCGACTCCGCGAGTCCGATAATCTCGCGACACCTCTCTCCCGGCGGGATTAACAGCGATATCGAGTAGTAATATCGCCGGCATGTGGATGCATAAAAATATGTTTAATAAACAAGTCTCATCAAAGCGTGTCGAATCGACCGACCTATTATTAGAGAGCCTGCGTTCGTTGGCGGGTCCGGGCGGAAATAACAAATTACTCAGTGTCAGCTAGCCGGCGTGGCAGCCGGAGATCGAGAGCAGTCCGATCGCGAGAAAATTCACTTGAAACTTTCCGACAGATCGGCACGCGTGCGAGAAAGACAGAGAACAAAGAAAGAAGAGGCGTGCCTCTGAGGAGAAAAAGAAAAGGCTTCCTAGAAAAATTCTTGCGCTCGATTGATCCGCGATCATAAATCATTCGTTTAACAAACATACGAACACATTCAAACATACGATTACATTTTCACTGTCGGCATTCTGTTGGCTTGGTGGTCACGTTTTCCGTACGTTCGAGCTGCAAGAGCCGTACTGCGCGGACTGATATGAATATTAATACCGACGATTATCTAACAGTGGATCATTTTAGCGCGTAAACATCCGCGATAACTTGATGCGGGGATCATATTTTTCAAAGTGCGTATTTACATTAATAAGTGTTAAAAAACGCGAACAATAATAGATCCTAACGGCGCGATCGACAATAATCCTTAATTGCTCTTTACATGCTGAATACACAAGAGAAGTCGTTGAGTTCTTGTCTTTCCGACGTCAATCCTTTTTTTTATTTTTTTTACCGACTAAACTAGCCGCCAGGTTATTTATTGGATGAGTGTCTCGGTAAGTTTTACGAAATTATCGCTTTGTGCCAACTTAAGCAGAACAATTTTATCAGCAAAAAAGCCATTCGCGCGAACGTAAATCACAAGAATTATTCTCTCGTACTTTATCGCGATTTTCTCGCTTGTGATATCGCGATTCGAGATAACGACGATCGACACCGATGTATTGATGTGACACCGAGCTCGGTTTTCGAGACGGCGAATTTCTCTACTAACTTCTGAATATGGAAATTGTTAGAGATTTCAAATTCATCGGTACTGCAAGGTATAACGTGACATGAACCAGGATTGACCTTTAAGACTTTAAGGGCTTTTTTTTCAATAGCACGCGTACAATGTTGGGTCTATGAATGAATATTAGATTGCTTGTCAACTTTCGTAAAAGTTCCTGAAAAATTTCAAAATATCTGTTTACAAATTTTGATTTTGTTGCGCTATTTTATTGCTGAGACTTTTGGAAAAAATGTATTAAAAAATATTGATTTCCAACAAAGTTAAGATAGATCAAAGTTTAAGTTTAAACTCTGTCCTCACAATGTGTTTGAAGGACAAAGTTTAAACTTGGACAAAGTTTAAACTTAAATCTAAGTTTAAACTATAATTGAAAAATCAGCCCTGCAGGACTCACCGTGCTTTACGAACAGCAGATCGCCCGAAGGATGGGGACCTACGGTACGACGGGACCCGGTTCGCGAAAATAGCCGGCTACGTCGCAGACGGCAGGCATTACTCAATTAACTCGTACACGCGATTTGGCAAGCCGTCTTTAGCCCGGCAAGGCGAGGCGAGGCCCTCGAAAAGTGCAGCCAGCGCGGCAGGGAGCCTCTCCTTCCGAGAACCCTTTTTCTCTTGGCGTAGTCTCCTGGCAATCGGCCCACGACTCGCTGAGACTTCATGGCGAGCTCTCTTCTCGACTGCTTCCTCCTCGGGGCCCCCTCGATCTTCCTCACCTCGCCGTCGCAGCACAGAAATCCTCATCGCAACGAGATTCTTCTCTCGTACCGGAAACGATCGAGTCTCGCCTCAGGTGATCATATTTTTCTGTGCGTTACCAGGACAATTGCGAGAAAGGCCGGAGCGTTTGCAATTTTTAAAGGGGCCCGCTGTCGCGACCTGATCTGACCTCCCGTGCTGAAACGAGTCCTCGGAGTCGTCCCCCGGCGCAGTAAACCCCGAGACCTCGAGGAAAATTACACCGTACGATTTATGCGCACGTGTCGGCGCGATGTGGAGATTTCTTTTCGCTCAGAACATCCACGGGCAGACGCGAACAGTGAGCAACAAATCGCCACTTTTCTTTCCCCTCGGGCGATTGTGCGCGCCAGGTCCGATGGTGCAATCGCCGCGTCAGTGAAAAGCGTGTTTTCCTATCAGCTGATATGACGCTTGATGCTTTTCGCAAGCGTATCTCATTACCTGTATCGTCGCGCAGCAGTCAATAGATAATAAACGGACGATGCGCGACGAGAGGAACGACGAGAGTATGTAAGACAGTGCGTCTCTCTCGCCTTTCATTGTATCGTTACTGCAATATCCATATTTCATAACCGACGTTCCACAAAGCCGCGTCTCGCGGCACGGTCGACAATGCACGATGGACGAATATTTCTTTTCATAATGATACATTAAACGCGCCATTGTCCATTGTCAGTCGCGACAATAATTACCGGAACAAAGACGCGTAAATTATGTATGCGACATACTAAGGACGTATGTCACGAAAATATGCACCGGCGTGGCGCGATAAAAATCCAGCTGAAAATTCCGTCCCGACGATGAAAACGCGAGCGGCGGCGGTTTACGGGCGAGTTTTTCCATGAGCTTTGCTCGAAGGGACGTAAAACGTGAAAAGAAGCCAACTATCCTACAGAAGAGCCATCGCAGCTTGTCTAAAATACCGATCAGACGAATATACGAAAAGTCGCGGGTCTCATCATCGAGACGAGTGTGTTTGTACAGCCTCCTAAGTAGCTCTCAATCCGTTCCCTACACCGGTGCAGAGAGAAGTCCGAAAATTTACGACACACTCCGAATTTAAACGAGGCCAGACGGGTCCCTCGAGGTATTTAAAAGCGGCTGAGAGTTAAAACGCCGGCGTCGCCCATAAATGGCCCGTTAAATGGAGAAAGTGAAGTACCGAAGTTGAAGTCCTGCGAGAACTTCCAGGGACACGAGAGACCTCGCGCGAGAAACGACGGAGGCTCTGTGTTTGCCATATAAATTAATTTTTATGAATCAAGTTAGACGACGACGAATAATTCGACCAAGTCGACGAGAGCGCAACAGAGTTCGGTAGCTGCGTCGCGTCGACGGAATAACGCGAACAGCAGACATATTTCTACGTGGGATGTCTCGGCGAAGGAAGTCGCGCGAGAAATCGATAATCAGCCCGCCAGATCGCACCACGCTAGTGTAATGCATCGTTTCGATGCGCGCACAGACCAGACCCTCTTTATAATTCCGCGGCGTTCCTCTGGCGCGAGTCCGAATCGTGGCCTCGGCCGGGTCCCTATTGGCGAAGTTCAGCGCGTAATACGGAAAAATCGTAATACATGCGCCGAATGCCGCTCAATTTATGGAAAAGTACCTATACGAAGTTACGGTGCTGATCGCGTACGTGGAATAATAACGCCGGCGAGTCGGGCGCGAGAAAAACGTACAACTCGCGGCGCTGGTCGATACAAGATCGCACAGAGCCGCGCACGTGCGCCATTAGCCGGCATTAGCCGGCATTAGTCGGTCGCGTTGAACGGGCAAATTTTCGGCCGCTTCGGCTAGGTGCACGACGTTCTATAATTGAGACAGCCGCGGAGAGTTGGCGGTTCTCGAGACGGCGCTGTCTGGCCGCGTTCTACACGGAATTTCGCGGCAATTGCATAGCGCAAACAAGATACAGCGCCGCGGCGATAATATGCCGTCCGGCTGTCCGCGTGGGCGCGATTTCGCGGCGTCCCTCTCGCGGCGGAAAAATGCGAAGCGCGTCACGCCGACATTTATCGCGGTCGTGCGAATAAACACCGGCGGCCGGGATCGTATGTTTGTCACACTTGAGACGATCTTAAAGAAGACGCGCGAGTGACGTGGCCGTGTATCTACACAAACACGTCGTCGTGCCAATCGCGCGCTATATTTAAGCGATCTTTTTATTCGCGACCCCTTCGCGCGGTAACCCCTCGCGCGTCACTTATCGCGCGAATTTAGCATTTCGATTCGACCGCCGCGACAGCGAGCCAGATCCGCGCGCTGCAACGTCAGCGACGGACATCGTCGTCGTCGTCAGGTCGCGCGCTAAGTCCACTTTGAGCGCGTCTCTGACGTGCGGACGCGAGTGCGAATCTCAGGTATTTTCGAGTTTAAGCACGAACGGCGATGAGGTAATCTCCGTCGCGCACGTGAAGCTTCTCTTTATCTCTTATTAATTAGCCCGATGGAGTGCGAGAATATCCGGATGTATAGAGAAATCGCGGAGCTAAACCCCTCGTGAAACACTCCGCATAATCACGACACAATGGAGCGGAATTAGGGCGCGTCGCGTGACCCGTTGACACTACAACTACCGATGATTAACGACCTGTCTCTATCAGAGCGGTCAAAATGGCCGTTTCTGGAAGAAATACTTTTCAAAGTATCAACTATTTTCAAAATACTTTTTAAAAATCATTCTAATGAAAAAAGATTCGATTGCATTATAACACGAAATTTGGTCGTAATGGACGTGCAACTAATGCGTTTTGCTTGTGAAAAAAACGAAATTTCTGGTTCCTAGAGCCAAATTTTAATGATGAGGGTCACAGAAACTCCGTGTCCTTTAACCAAAACGATTCGTTCATCGAAACCACACTTTACGTTGACACAGCCAACTTTCTTTGCACCGTGTACGCAATGCGGGGGAAAAGCGACTTATCCTTCCTTTTGAGCTTCATTCGACACCAATTATAAAAATACAAAATGTACTGTTATAAATTTGCTTTTTAAAGAAAATTACAAATATCATCATTATGACTGCTTTCATAAGTGTTCATTCTGATATTAATCAAAGTACCGATAATAAACGCGTTGTCACCACGTCTTTAATTGCCGTCATTGCGCCAACTCCATTCCATAGTTCATTAATCAACCGTGATCGTCACATGTTCACGATGAAGCACGCAAATGCGATTCGATCGCTGATCGATGCGCGAGAATAAGACGCGATCTCCGTAATAATCGGGAGAACACTTTCGACAAAATGATCGCGACTCTCGCGAAAATGTTGAACGATCTGACAATTAGCTGTCAGGAAATGTGACATTGCAATGTGGGACTAATAAAAGAAACAAATCTCCATCAAACATGTCACGTCGCCAAAATGGGCGTATTGTCACAGAAAGCTGCGCTATCGTGCGTATGTGTGTGTGAGTGTGTGTGTAAGAGAGAGTCACGGTACACAATACATCTTTCTAATCAACTCAGTCACGCCATGTCGATTATCTTTCGCGGCGCGCGCACGAACAGCCATCCCGAAAGTCACGTTTTCGTAATTAGCTGTTTACTCAGGATAAGATCGATAGCGACAATGATAACGATCGTACAACGATATGACATTCCTCATTGACGAACGTCATTGACGTGTTCTTTCGAGACGTGACCGCGATCGACAGCACTACTTACACACCCCATTACGCCATTTAATGGGCGTCGAGTAACTTCGTTAAGTGCGATAAAACGTGACGCGGCGGACTGTGCCCGTTTATTTTATCGCGAGTTCGCGCGACGGTGGTGGCGACGGCGGCGGCGGCGCTCCAGATCCAGGTGAACAAAGGGGCTATTAGCTTCGCGATTTATCCACGCTCCGCTTTGTTGTCCCGTAATTGACGCTGTGTGTTCCGAACGCGGGAGCCCGTTACAGGAAGGCCGTGCGGTGCGCGCGCGCGGGTTGGTCGGTTTCCGTGCTCCGCTCCGAGGAGCAGAAGGGCTACACACACAGAGTCCTTCGCATTTCGTCGCTAACGAAGTTGTTCCCGGCGGGGAATACGCCTAGAGTTATTCGCAAAATTTCTCGCAAATTGCCGCGCCGCTGTAATGCCGTGTGGACTCGCGTCCGTATGGACGAGCGGTCTCGGTTATAGCTTTGCACGAGAATACGTGTATTTGCCGTTAATGGTCTTCCCAGCATGTGAAGTTTCATGCGGCTACGAAATCAATTGACATTACTCGGGGCTATGGGGTTTCGTTGCTTCATTATAGTTCTGACAATAGAGACGTCATTGAGGACGCGTGTTCGTTACAGCTGAAACACAACAGCGTCGCAAAATCAAGCCATTTCATCCGCTTGTATCTCCTTTCCACCAATCAACTTGAAAATCTCAACGCAAATTATTGCATTTCAGTTTGTGAATATCATTCCAATTAGAGATACCGAGAAACTTGCTCGACTATCCGCGTGCAACTCTTATTTGTACGAAGCTAATTTCGGAAAATCGCGAGACCCAAAATACGTTGATTGAAAGACTGACTAGGCGTATCAAGGAGCGCGTATCGTCAGCGACGTGTCGTCTTCTAAACATTATAAACGATAGAATTAATCGCAGCGTGCTCCAAAGTACGACAATTTCAATTATTACACGCCGCGGTAACTAACGAGCCTGTTGCGAAGCGCCAAAGCGTCTCGAAGCGCGCCTCCTCGTCTAGTTATAGCGGATGCCACGCCACGGCACGATCCGACCGTTTCCCGATCAGAGAAACGAAGCTTGCGTTCAAAGGGAGAACCCTCTAACGATGTTTTCTCGCCAGATGTCGGCCGGACGAGGACGAGACGCTTATAAAGTCGCGTCTACGCGCTCAACGACGACGACGAGACCCAAATTCGCGCTGAACCCGCCGACGGGGTTCAAGAAATCTGACCTAATTTCGTCCACGGCGGTGTGTCGTCAATTATCGTCGCGTGTGCTCTTTGTCGGCTTCACGGGTTGAGCGTCACGTTGGTCGTCGAGCTAAATGTGCGAAGTCGTATTCTCGACACGTTTCAGCGCTAAGTGTAACCTGGCGTTAAATCGCTGTTTACATCGGACACGCACGACTGATCACAGGCAGTCGTTCATTTGAACCGGAGAGCATGGAATTGGTTGTGCTTCCGAGACGATTTTTCGGTACAATGTACCTACTGTGACCACCTAGTCTCTCGTTCACATCTCTCAGGATCACGTGTTTGAGCGCGGTTCCGCCGCACGTGGGGAACACGCCACGGTCATTAGGAGAAAGAACGCGATGTGTTTTGACGATTACTAATGAGCGTGATGTAACTAGTTGACTAACTTACAGCGAGAAACGACGGGCGATCGCCTCGAAGCCTGTAACTGTTTCCGCGAGCAACGAGTTAGAAATTGCCGTAAAAATAGCTTGGCGCGCGGATAGAGCGCTGATCAGGTAGCCGGTTGAAATGAAAAGTCCCGCGAACAAGCAACTCTGTCAACATGTTTGTAGCATTTATTACTGAACGTTTCGTTGCTTTTGAGATATTTGCACGATACGCTTGTGCAGTGTAGATAAATCCGCACGCGATGGCCTTTAAGTATGCATGAGTGCGCGCCAAAGCTGCTACTGCTCAGACAGAAACTTGCTACCAGGTTCCTTCTTGAAATGCATTGTGGCCCACTTTCGCACACGGCGCGCGACGTTGTGAATTTTTCCGGCTAGCGCGCGAGAGCCCCGCAAAGCGAGGACAGGACCGAAACGCGACAAACAGCGTGCGCGACAGGTCGACGGCACGAGTACCTGTTTAAAAGTCGATTCGATTGTTCGGTCATGCGTGCCCGATTTCGCAAGCGGGAGAGGTTCTGACGTGCCCGCGTAGGACGCATGAAATGAAAATTTCATCGATCGCGCGCCGAAGACTTATCCCGGCTCCTTTCTGCGCGAGAACCGTCTTTTTGCAATCTTCCCCGAGCGAACCGCCAGAGACGACGGCGCTTTATCAAATTTTGCACAACAGCACTTTGCAAGATACGATATAAATCGAATATAAACGACGCGAACTTCGACGATGTAACGTGAGATATTTTTAACGAAATACTTTGGGCGAAGTAAGAATCTATCTATGTCTGGAGTAAAACACAGTAATGGCAGTTATATATAAAATGACAATTATTGTGTACCTGAATTTTGTGTACGTAGAATTATGATAATTTAATCAACTATTTTATAGATATATTACAACTGGAGCTTTAGTTGTAACAAAGTAGTTTATTAAACTACATATGTGTATTATAATTCTACAAAAAAAAAAAACACATACAGTTGTCATATGTCATGTTTAGTTGCCATTACTGTGTCTCTCTGAGTATAGATTTTGGGAAACAAGCAACTGGCCTCCCAGAGCGGATGTCGACGCTACATTCTGTCATCTTTGCCTTCCCAAATTTTCAACAGCGTTGGCGCATCGCCCCGGAATCCATCGTATGGAAGGAGTTATATAAACACCCGGACTAGAGATGGCTCGATATTCCAAGTAACGCGAGATAAAAATATTTCCGACGGAACACATTCTCCGCGAACGACGAAATTCCACAAATATATCCGGAGAAGCTCCTGAAAATTTCTCCTCACTTCGCGTCGCTATACACTAACGTCTCGCAAATAATAGAGTCCATTTTCTTTGTTCGGTATTTCAATGTTCGTAAAAAGATTCGTAAAAAGGAGCCGGAGCGGAGCCACTACGTATTACCATAATTTCCCTCGGTTTTCTTGCGGGAACGCCGAACAGACTTCGACTTTCTTTTCCGTGACCGTTCACGAAACCTTCGAATTAATTGTTTGCGCGCCTCGCCTCGCTACGATTCAAAGTCGCTTCGTTATCCTGAACACCTCGAGACGAACCGTGGGCGTTATGAGCGGCGAAATAATTGCAAAAACAAAATCGCCACGCTATGAGCGTGTCGTTTTAACCGCGAGCGGTCGAGACGAGAAGAAGGAGCGTGAAAAAGACGTCCAAGAAGATTTACACGAC